CGTGGTGAGTCTACCTAATAATGTTCTTTTCTCAGCAGCTGTAGCCTGGAAATAAATATTGTGTTAAGCTTGCGAATAAAATTGGGCTCATAAACTGGTTTGCACATGGCAGTGTTGGGGATCATCACAGTCCTGGGTCTGAATGCTGGCTTCGTTGCAAACGGCAACCACCCAAGTTCAGGTGGCTACTTAGTAATATGAGTCATAACCCTGCATACGTCTTACGGTTGCTTCATGCATCATGCTTAGTGTGTTCTTGAAGTCTGTTTATGACTTGGTCTGATCAACAAACTGTGATTTAGTGTGACATGTGAACCCAGTCTTGGTTCCTTCATAGATTTCCTTCCAGTTGTCCCCACTATGTAGTTTTTCCAACTTTTCTGCCCCAATCCAGTAGAACATATTCTGAAAACTCTCTGAATTTGCCCCAAGGTGGAAGTGTTTGTTAATGTTATTGTAGGCTTAACATTGTATATAAACGTCTAGCTCTGTTGCAAGAAGCTAAGTCGGCCTTTAGACCATCTTAACTCAGGGACTGGGTTGTCAGAAGCATGTTGGGGAGGGGGGCGGAGACCACTCAGACCTTGGGCTGTTTTGGAAAGGATGAGTCTAGTTTTGTGGGCAGAAGGAGGAAGCCAGTCATCTGAATGACCTTCAATGAAAGCTAGCTGAGGCACATCAACTGTTGGGCTCAAATGTAGCTTGGTAATAAAGTTTGCATCATTTCAGACCATTATAGTGATGACTTGGCTTGGTGAATTACTGCCCTGTTTTGGGAAAGAAACAGTGCACGGAGAACAAAACAGCTGGACATTCATTTGTGGAGTTTGGCAGTTTTCTCTTAGATGACGTGAGCAAAGTCACGAAGGGATGACTTTTCGCCATGACTGATTGTGTTGTGAGAGCATTTTACGGGAAAACAAATTACTTTTGATCCCAAGCTTTACTATTAGGTTTGGGGGCGGAAGAATTTGTTGTCTCATAAGGGTCTGTGCCCAATGCTTTAGGGCCTCCAGAATCTCAGATCTGAAAGGGCTGGAAAGAGCTATGGAACTTCACCCCAGGAACATGGAATTAGCCGCTGGTTTCTGCGAAACAAGGGAAGTGTGTTAAAATACATAGGATACTACTTTAGAACAGATGATTTCTTCCTTTAACCAGTCTCTTGTACCCTAAGAATGGTTGCGAAAGCCATAGACAGGAGCAGCTTGATCTCTTCATCTGATCCTTTAATTTATCTGCAGTGATTTAAAACTTCTTCAAATCTCTAGGGTCTACTAACACATTTCTTTAGAAGACTGATTGTTCATACATAAGAGTGAAATCCTGCATAAAAAGTATGACATTCTAGATTTGGGGTGTACACCATGAGCTTTTAAAAGCATTTTCCTACACACACACACACACACACAGATATCACTCCTTTGCAGATATTACAGCCAAGGATCAAAAAAACAACAGAGTCAAATGCTTTTTGGCATTTACGAGGGCTGGCAAGTAAGAGGGGATGTTCTGAAATGTTTGTGCCTCTCTGACACGATTATTCTGGAACTAACAATTGGCTAAGAGAGCGACCTCTATGAAACTAAAACAAAAAATGAAAAACAGCTGGTTTGTCTTCCGTTAAGCCATTTTGTTTTATAGCTTGGAGAGAAATTACATTCCAGGATGGTTATATCAGAGATGTAGAGCTGGCAGACAAGGTGAGAGTCTCTAACATCCATAGTCCAATAAATTGCTGTGGTCTGAACAAGGGACAGACTGCGCTGTGGATCAAAAGCAGAAAAAGTGCACAGTGTGTGTGTGGGCATCTCGGTAAAGAGGTACATCTTTAACAGGTTTCAAGTGTTAATAATGTGGTCTGAAGAAAATACGTGTGAAAATTACAGAGACACCAACAGGTTGTACCAAGGTGTTTGAAGCAGGCCTGGGCTCACTGTCACCTCCTGACTAACTGAAATGTCTACTTTTCCAGGATCATGTGGAAAAGCATTGGGTTCTTTATGGAGGTCTGTGAGCCTCATCCACTCCAAAACACCTCTTCAGCTTTGGATCCAAGCCCAGTGCTGTCCTAGTCTGACCTATCCTTGGAAAAATGGCTTCTCGGTAGTGGTGATGTAACCTGCCTCTTAGTCAGTGTGCATGTCATGCCACCTGGACCAACTGGTTCGGAAAGTGGCAGTAGATAAACTGGAAAGGTCCTCCTCCTTGGCTTTTCAACTCTTCCTCTTTGGATTTCAAGAAAGGCGTTCATCTTTCTCAGTTTTTGAGGTGGTGACACACATTTAAAAAGGGAAGTGAGCTCTTTGTGCCCTCAGGGACATTTGCATGTTGCCAAAAACAGGGGCACCTCCACTTGAGAACTTCTTTAAGGTACGGGTCCACGCATAAACGAAAGTTTGCTGGGTTGAGCTTTGAGTTTCGGCATTGCTGCAGGAGAGTCCCAATAAGTCACCAGATGCATCTGAGATCTTATCTCCCATCCTGAACTTTCCATGTGAGAGAAAGGCTCCTCTTTGTGCATCTAGCCAGCATGTGGTGGAGCAAGTGAGAAACCAGAGAAATTGCTGATTTTCTAGTTTTGCTGCTCACCTCTGCTTGTTGGTTATCTTTTCCGCTTCTCCCTCCTCCATTTCCTTCCTTTGCATCCGGATTCTTCTGAAACAGCCAAATCTGCCTTCTTTCAGCTTATGGCTGGGTTTGAAGCAATTGCCTTGTACTTTTTGGGCTCCCCTTTCTGTGAACAACTCCTTTCTCCTTTATTTTTGATGGTGCAGCACTTCCAACGGTGTATTGTAAAGTCAAATCAAGTGGGACTCTTGATGATTTGGGGAGACACATCCATGGAGCTTTTCATGAAACCATATCAAAGTGTCTGGCCTGACTGCTTCCCAGATGTTTTTTCATGAACGTATCCATGCAGTCAATCCTATAGCCTAGGCTTTTCATCCAGATACCAACTAGGTTTTATCTATCTTTTTTTGAGATAGCCAAGTTCATTTAGGTGCTAAGTTGCATGTTCTTAAAAGGACGCCATCTAGGAGATGGTCAGGAAGTGTTTTCGTTGTGGCAGAAATTACGTTCAGAAATAATGGATGTCGATTGCATCTCCCTCAAGTTCTCCGACATGTAAGGGAAAACTTCCTGATCTGTCAAACAGTGGAGCAGTTTATGTCTGGAGGCTGTGGTTCTCCATCTGTGGAGGCCTTAAGAAGAGGCTAGACAGCCACCACTCAAGGGCGGCTTAATTAGTATTCCTCTAGGGTTGGGCTAGGTGACCTTTGTGGTTCCAACTCCACAATTTTATGATGCTGTGATTCTTTAAGGTTCCATTGTTTGCAGCAAGACCTGAGTTCTGGGTAACAGCACCTTTCTCAAACTCTTCTTGTGCCAGTCAAGGGTGATGTAGCAAATTCTGGCCCTGGCAGAAGGCACTGAGGGCAGAAGGACCTTTCCCACCTTCCAGAAGTGTGAACTGCAGTTCCCAGAACTTGCCAGCCAGATAAGCTGCAGCTGGAAATTCTGACAGTTGAGTGCCCAATGAACTCTGGCATCGGCGCTGCAATACACAGGATAGCTGCTAGGTGTCTACGGATGACCCTTGTGGCCCTCTAGTGGCCATCTGGATATTTGCAGCCTTTAAATCCACTCTTCTGGAGATTAGGATGGGCTGCTCTGTAATGAAAACCTGGGGTGGCGTCAGCACCCGGCGTCATTGTGAAAACGTCTGCCATTGAGTAAGATGCTAGAAACCCTGCCTTTGAGACAACAGCTTTACAGTAAAGCAGGAAGGTTATGCAAAGCAACTTCAATTTGTTGTTTTCTTCTCTTACAAATAGGTTTCCTTGGCTTCTAATGGATCCCCTTGAAAAGAATCAGGTAGAATCAAGGATTGGTGAAGCCACGCTAGCCAAGAGGCACAAGATAAAGTGACCGCTATTACTGCAGGATTCACACATTCTATTAACATAAGCCATGGCCTGCATAACCATAGTTTGTCCGCTAAACCACAATTAGTATGTTGTGCGAAGCTAGGCCTTGTGGCTCCTAGGCCATTATTGATCTCTTAGTGTGCTGCATAGGCCCAGACCGCATGGACTGGTTGACTTACAAATCCAGCAGTGACTAGATTCATATAATGTTTAGCTTTGGATTGTCACAAACCACATGGTGATTTAGGGCAATGTGGGAAACCAACTGTAGTCTTCAATGCAACTAGAGTTGGGAAGGTTTTTTTCATCTCGTGTGGTCCAACCCATCTAAGCTTCTGCAAGTCTCCTCCACATCAAGCTGGGTCATTTTCCCTTCGCCAGCTGCATCTTTTCCTTGATGTGGGTGGTTGTCTTTTCCACTTCTGTTTTTTAGCAAAATATTCAAGGAAGCGCTTGGGCTAAATTAGCTGTTCCAGAACATGGATCAGCCTGAGCCTTCAGGAAGAAAAATAGCCTTTATTTTGAAGAACGTGCTGTCACCTGATAACAGTAGATTAAAAAGAATGACTATTATTGGAACTTATTGAGTAACTTGGGGTCTTGTGTAAATCCAACTAATTATAGGCTATTGTTGTTAAAGCATGGTTTCTCATAAATAAGAGAACCACATCAGTTCTTTCTCCAGCTCAAACCCACTTTCGTATCCAGTCTGCCTTCGTTTGGGAATTTTCCATCTTTCCATTTGGCACAACTCTGAAGCTTGCTTACTCTTCAGTAAGCCAAAGGTGGTACTTTGAAAAGCAAATTACCTTGCCGTGTTTCTGTCTTCCACTCTGAGAAGAAGACATTTGAGTCCTGTTTCTTTTTCTAGGGAGTGTGAAGTCTGCACTGCAAAGCATGACCTCTTTCAGGCCCTCAACCAGTACAGAATTGGCATTAATTCCAGGTGGACCCTTGAAATACATACACACACAATCATGTATTTCTTTCCAAGGCTCAAAAGTCTGGTGGTAGGCGTTTGGAAGAATATGGATCCAGTGTTGCATCTGTTGGTTCTTTTCTCTGTAGGGAAGAAGTTCAGGAGAACTGTGTTCGCTGGAAGAAGAAATTTACCTTTGTCTGCAAGATGAGTGCCAATCCCACCACGGGGCGCCTAGACCCTTGCATCTGCCGAGTGTCAGTCCGCAAAGTGAGTCTCTTTCACTTTTGGTTTCTGGCTTAGGGCTCCTCACAGCTGAAGTAAAAGCTGCCGCGTTGTGTGTGAGGTGTTCTGAGTTACAACCTTGAATCCACCAGACAGCCCTCTTTTTTGACACTGAGATAGAGAAGAACGTTGTCCTTCCTTGTAGCTAACTTTCTCTTTTCTTTTCTTGTGGCAGGAACTGAAGGGGGGGAAAACCTATTCCAAGGTAAGAGGACAACGAGCTATCAAAGGCAAAGCTATGATAGATGATGACCATGTCTGAATCTGCAGAGCACCTCACATGCATTCTCTTAGCAATCTCTGAAACTTGGGTTAGATCTATGTTGCTCTTCATAAGTCCAGTAGGGCTTAGAAGTCACTGGTTGTAAGAATGCCGAGCTGTTTTATTTACAGCCAGGTTAAGCAAGCCAGTTGTCCACAATGTCTCCTGAGCTCTCTTTGAGAGCCCATTTTCAGTTGGGAATAATTCCTGTAAATTGTAGCCTAAGTCTTAAGGTTGAAAAACTCTAAAGATCCATAAACTCTCTAAAGTCCACGACAAAATAGCAAACGTTTCTGAGCACCAGGGTGAGAGGGCCCTTTCCTGCCCAAGGCTGACCCCACCACCACCCTTGGGTACCTCTTTCTTAACCAAAATTTAGGCACCCTGGTGGCAGAGATCTCCTCAGCTTGGCCTAGCCAGGCCACGTGAACCAAAGATGCGAATGAATGTAAAGTCCTTGTTTGATTAAATCAGTCACTTTTGGAAGTGCAGATTCCTCCTTCCTGCAGTCACAGATGTCTCTCAGAAGTCTAGAACAGGGAGGCGCTCTGAAACAGGACCAAAGCTGGGTCTTTGCTGCGCGGTCCACCTGGCCTTACTCTTTTGCCTAAGGCTAATTATAGCCTGCCCCTAAAAATAAGATAAAATATAAAATCTGAGATTGCTTGACGCCCGGTCTAAATCACTGGGTTACTCATTGCCCAGGACAAACGTACGCTAAAGAGGGATGTGCTTCAGTCACTGTGGCAGAGAACACCAGTGGTTTGTCATGTAAGAACAACCTGTCCTCTGTACATTGAAGCGTTCAGATTGTTCTAACGTTACACACCAATAATTTTTTCCAGACGTAAAATACTGTATGTGTATATATATATATATATATAGAGAGAGAGAGAGAGAGAGAGAGAGAGCGCGCGCGCACGTGCTCAAACATCAGACCCACTTCCCTGTGTGCTGTTAACTAGCTGTTACCCATCCAGTCGGATGGAAGGAATGAAAGCCATCGGTATTTCTCCTAGCAGTTCTGATGACTCAAGGGTCCCTGCTCGGCTGTGTACTTCTCAAGCCACATCAACTGGAGCATTTTCTGGAAGTTGTGCAAATGCAGCTGTTCCAAATCTCTATACAGTCCCTGGCTCTTCTCATTTGGACAAAGACAGTTGCCTTTGGTAACTTCTGTGTCCTATCAAGCGTCTGAACCCTCCTGTTTCTGAGCTTAGAAGCAAAGCAAAGCAGAATTGAGGCAGTTGGCCCGTAGATAAAGTGAGAGGAGTGCGTTGGCCTGGGTCAGAACAACTCAGTTTTTTTTTTTTTAACTGTCCCATGTCGAACATCACAACACATAATTTGGCACATCTGGTAGAACTCTGCTATGAGAAACAGGAAGTGGGTTTCACCAATCTTGCAGGACTTTACGTGTAATTCTGGGACGCTGTTGCCAAATAGCTATTATGCTTCAAAGGACTGCATAAAGAACGGGTTAAGTATCTGGGTCTCTGGAGCTGTGGGAAGAGAGGAAACTCCAGGAAATTCCCCCAGCTGCTTTTGTGGGCCTCCTGTGAGACAACTTCCCAGCTCTACTCCTCCAATAGAAAAATATTGCTTCTTGCTAACTGGGTTCATCCCTCAAGCTAAGCCGTATGTGTTCGGCTTACTTGAGGCTTAGCACAGTGCACCACCCCACATGATTGTAATTTGTAAACCATGGCTTAGTGCATTGTGGGAACCCAGCTTGATTTCCACGAGGGGAGGTTCTTTCCACAGCTAGCTCAGCTTCCCTGAAGTTCTGCCATTGAGCATTCCATCTCCTGGAGGAAAGAGCAGAATGGGAGCAAATCATGAGGTGTAGAAGCTCACCACTGGGCAATGTTGCCGAGGAAGTTGTACCAAAAATTATACCTAAACCTCCTTTGTCAGAAGGATTAATCATCTTCTTGCAACTTTGGGATGTCTTGTTCTTGGGAGTCCAGAAGAGTTCCCATCTCACCTTACGACTCCAAGTAGTTCTTGGAGAGTCCACCATCATGTCTTAGCCAAGACAAGGTCATCCCTGGTTGACCCACCAGCCCAGAAAACCCTTATTGCAAAGCCACAAGTGGGTAGGCTGGCTTTGATTCAAATACCACGTTTCATCATTGATCAAATGTTCAAGTGATGGACCAGGAACTCCGCTGCCAGAAGGAATAGCTGCGTCTAGGATAAAAGCTAAATTTGATTTTATCTCATTTGCATTGGGAATGAATTAAAATGAAAACCATTTAACCTACTCACTTTCTAGTTGTGCCTTTAATCATTCTCAATTTCGGTCACCCTCAAGAGGACAATTTGGCCAGTTAAGGAGATCCTGGGGGACATTATACTGTCAAGTTGTCCTCCTGTAACCTATGTGCATTGGTATATACAGATACCATACATTTTAGCTTTCCTTGCAGCATAGCTTGAAGGGAGCTGCTGACTTAAACCCCCCCCCCCCTTTTTTTGGTAACGTGCCCGAAGGTGCTTCCCCTTCAACCTTGTCCCATAAGAAGAGCAGACTGGCTTCATGTCCGACCCTAACCCTTCATCTCTCGCTGGGTCGGCTGTGTGCATTCTGGGACAAGCTTGGGACAAAAAGTGCCTTGTTATATTTGTGTATGCGTGCACGGGAGTGAGCATTTTCCGCATCACTGACCTGGCGTGTTCGGTGTCCTTGGTTATGCAATCCCTCTGGGCGGGTTAACGCTCGCCTTGCCAGAGCGATAATCTCCTTTCTTTCCCCGTATGATAAGGTTTTAATAGAGGTTTTCCCCAAAAGGTCAAGGTTAGGGAGGTGAAATCGTTCATCCTGGAGCAGAAAAGAGAGTGCCCGCTTTGCCAGCCCTGACTCACCTGCAGCTCGCGCCTTTTCATCATCCTGGTAATAAATCTCTTGGTTTTACAGCTAGGCTTCACTGACCTGAACTTGGCCGAATTTGCAGGCTCCGGCCTCACTGTCCGATGCTGCTTGTTGGAAGGATATGACACCAAGAACACCAGGCAGGACAATTCCATCTTGAAGGTAAGTCTGGAGGAGCCCTGTGGACCTTCAGAGGGAGAAAAACATGGGGGCCGATGGGCAGTGTGGAAGACGTGCTGGGGATGCCTTCACCAAATGGTGACCAGGACGGGATGGGTAGCATGGCAAGTAACAAAGCATAGGATGCTACCTTGCCTGTCCCAGCCAAGGGGCCATGTTTCTCAGGTAAGCTGCAGGTTGGCGCCACCAGCCTGTGTGGCTGACGTGGTGCCCAGACACCTGAGAGGCAAGAGGCTTTGCCACATGCCAGCTTCTGGTTTAATTAATTAGCAGTTGGCTGGTTGGCTGCAGAAATTGGCTGTTACATCTTCTTCATCGGGGGACTGCTGGAATTTCAGGTTAAATGTGTGGATTGGAAAGATGATCCTTGCTCGAGGAGATAGCTTGCCATTTTATACATCCCCGGCTGTTTTTCTGCTGAACGGTGAGGAGCTTTGGAGCAGAAATCCAGGCCCAAGGAAGAAGGGTGTGGTAAAATGGCACACACAAACACACACTCACACACACACACACACACACACACACAGGTGACTGTTCGGTCACAGGCTCTGTTCAGTCCATAAAATGTCTTGAGTTAGGGAAGATCTGCCGGCAACCGGTCCTTACCGATAGCCCCTACATTTTAATTTTATTTATTTCGCGTGCAGGTCAGTTTTCACGAGTTTTCTTTTTCCCTCTCTGTTCTTTTTCTGCAGGTGACGATTGGCATGTCCCTCTTATCCGGAGACCCTTGTTTCAAAACGTGAGTCATTTGGGAAGCTTAAAAACAAGGGGTGGGGTGGATTCAAAGACCGGGACATCTCGGTAGCAGTTGACGTCAGTCGGTCAAGCCTTTATTACAAAGGCCAGCATAACTGTTGATGTCCCTTGCTGGTAGCAACTGCCAGCCCCTGGATTGGGGTCACTGGAAAGGAGAAAAACAGTCGAGCTTTTTTTAATGGTTGAAGGAGGCAGCAGGTGTGTGGTCACTGACTGTACAAGGATGTGGTTGCTAATTAACCAGCAGTAACTCAGACGTACTTAGCACGGGTGTGGCGTGCTGGGGGCAAAGGGTGGTGGCAGTTCCTTGCCGGTAACACGGCAGCCGTAGAGGAAGGAACCTGTTTTCTGATTTGCAAGGCTGCCCCTGTAACCAGCGCGGCCGAGGACCGGGAGATGAAAGAGGAGAGCCAGCCAGCCAGCAGACGCTTCCCCGGGAGCCCTGACTGGCCGTAGACCCCTTTTCACGAACCAGCCCTTCTCCCCTCTTTTCCAAAGTGGGGAGAAAAAAAGGGGAGATGTCCGCGTATTTCAAGGTTGCCAAATCAGTGTTCTGGGTCCCGCAGCACACTGGTGCTTTCTGCCCCAAGGGTTCTGCTCTTGCATTTTGGGGTGGGTTGTACTGCCCGTTCCCCTGATTGGGTTTTACAAGATTTCTGCCCCCCAAAGACTCCGTGTCAGTGTGGAGCTTCCCCAAATGGCCATTCTTTCCCGCCTTCTGTTATTTACCCGGCCTTTGCCCGACTCGTTCTTTCGTCGTTGTGGAAGACGGCAACGTTGTTTGCCCCGGCTTTGTCCTTTCCTACAAAAGGGTGTTCTGGTTTTTTGCAGCCCGCCCTCCACGGCCAAATCCGTCGCCATTCCAGGGCAGGACTCCACCCTGCAGCTCACTTGCAAAGGGGAGGGAACCAGCAGGACTGCAACTCCCAACACCAACTCAGCGTCTTCGATCGGTTCCGTCCGTCAGAACAAACCCCGGGCCACCATCCTCGGATCAGGTATCGGCAACTCGCTTTTCCTGCTGTGCCTCCCGTCTGGGGGGAAAGGTTCAGATGTGAAAGGGATTAAGGCCCTCCCCTCTCCAAAATGCAAAAACAGGACCTACGTTTTTAACTGCACTCGCCCTGGGTAGGTTTTGAGCCCCCCCGGGAAAAAAAACTCAGAAATTTTCGGCACCCTGGCTTCGGAGAATCCTCTCCCAAAACAGAACCTCAGAGCACCGAGCCTTTGTGGTTTTTCGCTGTGGTTTTTCGCATAAGCCATGGTTTGCCCAACATGTTAAGCCAACAGCCAATGAGACAGGCGATGACTCAGTCTGGTAGGCGAGCCTAGTCGGTGAAGTGAAGTCAATTATTTCAGAATTGGTCCTTTCCAGCAAGCTCGGGGGATTTTTTTTGTGGTGAAAATGCGCTTGGCCCTCCCACAGCAACAGGAACCATGCTTTGATGGCCTGGCTTCCTTATTTCCCTCGACGGGAAGAGATGCTACGCTGTGCGTCTGAGTCCTGACTTGACCACCTACAATATTAATTTCCTGTATTTCTTTGTCTAGCTCCTTATCCATAAAACCCAATGGGAATAATTCTGGTTTTGTCCTAATATTAGTCCACAATATCTTTGGCATCACTGTATGGATCTGCACCCTAACATTAATTTAGCTCTTTCACCAGTCCTCCCCACGTAATTAAAAAGTCCCCTCTTCCTTTTCACACTAGTTTGGCGTTCCTTGATACATCTTAGACAATCGAGGCTCGTCACGTCCCTTGTGGGAAAAGACCGTTCAGCTGAATTCTGACTTTCACATTTCAGGGGTTCTGGAAGACCCAGACCAGAATTTGTCGAGTCCGGAAGAAGTATTCCATTCGGGACATTCGCGGAATTCGAGTTATGCCAGTCAGCAGTCCAAAATCTCTGGTCAGTGTTCATCCCACGACAGACCTGATGCAGATCTGAGCGACGCTCCACCTTCTTGAGCCTCTGGGTTGGGAGCCTCCTTCCAGCAAGCCCCAAACCAGGCAGCACATGGGATTCGTGTTGGAAGTTGCCCTTCCAACTTAAAAAGCCACATGGGGGTCCAGGTGGGACTCCTCACTCTGCCTCCCACCCCAACACAGAGCCGTTTGGCGACGGCTGCTGCCAAACCCCGCTTCTCCCTGGCTTAGATGACATCCTTGGTGCCAAAATTGCTTGATCTAACCATGTTCCTCTTAGACGTATCATGAATTATCTCTCCTGCTTTGCGGCCTTGAGAAATAAGCAAGGGAGATGGGTTAATATTAACTATACTGTATTATGCAGCTTGGGGGAGGCAGAGGCTGGGTGCAGGAGTATTTACACTCTACACGTAAGGCTTTGCACACTCTTAGGATTCCGGTTAGAAACCCTCTTTCACTTCTAGTAGCAATGGAAGAATCCATTTCTCTTCGCCGTGCGTAAGATTTTCTTCCCGTGCCATTTGCAGCCTGTTAAGTCAAGCTTCAGGCTGAAGCGTCAGGATAAAATCTCTTTGCCTCCGTCTGCCAAGAACGGGCTAGAAAGGGATCGGCAGGAGAAATGGGAGTCGTTGGGAGTCAGGCGGCATACAAATTGAATAATAATTTTTAAAAAATATTTTGTTATCCCAACTAAGCTAGCAAGAGGTGTATGGGGGGAGGTTTTGTTTGTCTGTTTTTGATCGTACCTTTTTTTACATTTTTACTGGTGAGTCACTGGGCAGCATGCAACTTTATTTTGTTTTTCGTGTTATCTTTTTTATCCTAGCTAAGCCAGCGAGAGTGTTTTTCCTTTTTTGTTTTTTTTCAAACTGGGGTGGCAATGTTTAATAAATAAATAGCCAATACGTCTGTAAATTTGGGCTATTCACGGCCCAAGGCATCGTGATGGGGCTGCCATTAAAGCGGGGGAGGTGGGTAAATTCCCGTGGGATTGGTTTATCGAGTCCTGTTAGCGCTGAAGACTAAGGACCGCCTCTGGGTTGGAGGTAGCGTGTTTTCCAACCCCAGGTTCAGGGGAAGGGTGTAGAAGGGGCACGTCTCCATCTCCTGCTTGGGAGCTTCCCAGACGCCTCTGGTGGGCCGCTGTCAGGAACGAGATGCTGGATTCAGCTGATCCCTGGCCTGACCAGCAAGGTTGTCCTGGTGTCCTTGTTTGCAGGATACAGCACGGAGCATTCCAGGTCCTCCAGCCTGTCGGACCTGACCCACCGCCGGAACACGTCAACCAGCAGTAGCGCCTCGGGAGGTCTCAGCATGACGGTGGAATGCCCAGAGGGCGAACGGGAGCACAGGTTGGAGAGGCCGCCAAGACCCCCCAGGCCAAGCCTTTTGCTGGACAGATCTTCCCGGTAGGTCTCAACAGGCTGGAATCCCAGAGAAGAACATCTCTTTCATGTTAAAATACAGGTGGTCCTCGACTTACAACCATTTGTTTAACGACTGTTTGAAGTTACGACGGTGCTGAAGAAAGTGACTTGCAACCAGTCCTCACACTTGTGACCATTGGTCACATGATCAAAATTTGGGCACTTGGCAACCGGCCTGTACTTATGGTGGCTGCAGCATCTCGGGGTCACGTGATCACCATTTACAACCTTCCCTGGGGGCTTCTGACAAGCAAAGTCAATGGGGGAGGCCAGATTCACTTAATGACCGCATGATTCGCTTAACTGCAGCAAAAAAGGTTGTAAAATTGGGTGTGAGTCACTTAACGACCGCATCGCTTAGCAGCGGAAGTTCCGGTCCCAATTGTGGTCGTAAGTCAAGGACTACCTGTAAGTCTGGTACTAAGGTCATTCAACTGCAAATGCTGGGAACTGGTTGTCTGTTGCAAAGCCTGTCTCCAAACACCTCCAAACATGGGTGCCAGTTTAACGAGATAAATGCAGTGTATTTTCCCCCTCTACCATTTCTTTTTTCATGTCTTTTCCTGCAGAAGGAAAAAGGATTCTGTGGAAAGCCACCCGACATGGGTAGACGACACCCGGATCGATGCGGATGACATAGTGGAGAAGATCATGCAGAGTCAGGACTTCACAGACGTCAGCAACACGGAAGGTGAGATTTCTCACTTGCCAAGGAGACGTCCGCCCTGCTTTCCTTCGCTCCTTGCACAGTCTTCCAACTCCAAGGCCGGCTTTGTGGATCTGCCGTTTGCAACCTGGTGCCTGTGTGGGACTTCATCTCCCAGAATTCCTAGGCCCCGGCTGGGGGATTCTGGGAACGAGAATCCAACACCTCTAGCCGCACCTGTTTGAGAAAGGCTTAACGTTTTTGCCTCCTGAACCTCTCGGTGTTTCAGTCCTGTTCGTTTTTGTCTTCCAGATAGTAACCTGAGGCTGTTTGTGAGCAGAGACGGCACCACTACGCTAAGTGGGATTCAGCTAGCGAACAGGTACGGTCCTGGAGCAGGTGCCTTTCGAAAGGTTGGGTTTAAGCCTCGTTCCTAGGAGGAACGCCGGTGTTTCTAAGCGGGCTTGGACCCTCCACCTGTCCCCATTTCTTAGTTTCTTTTCTTTTTTTAAACCGCACGTCCTGCAGACACCTCTGGACCTGCGCATAACGCAATGCCTTTCTTCTCGTTCTCTCGTGCAGAGTCTCATCTGGAGTTTACGAGCCAGTGGTAATCGAAACCCATTAAATGTGAACAAGATGGGGTGCACCTGCTGGAAACCTGTCTCTGCAGTTAGGGTGGGTGCCCTTTCCTCCCCACCCCGCTTCTTCCTTCCTTCCTTCCTTTCTTTCTTTTTAATCTTCTCTGCACATAACATTCCGGGCAGGACTTCCCAAACTCCCCGACGTAAGCACTCCTCATCTGCCCAGAGGTACTCCAAAACAGGCACTTTATGTTGGGTCTGGGAAGAGGACTATATGGACTATATTCGGAAGGATCCGGTCAACGGTCCTGCCCCTTGCAAGCGCCCCCTTGGAGGGAGAGCAACTCAGGACTCAGCATCTCGGTGAGCGTGGTTCCACCAGTCCTTCCTCTTCCCACCGCCGAGTTACACCACTGTGAACGCTTCTTTCTCGCTGCCCCGTCCAAGAAAGCCTCCGATTGGAAAGAGAAGGATCGTTGCTAATCGAGCGCAGAAGCGCGACGGCCACAAGGATTCCGCGGCCGGCTCGTCCACCGCTCCTCTCTTGCAGGCCACAAGAAATGATCCCTCCAAGGGCTGGTAACGAAGGAACGAAGGCCCCCAGCTGCCGCACTAATCTTGACTTTGAGCCAGAAGCCTCCCCAAGCTCTGTCTTTCATAGGAAACGGCTTGTGTGCTTTGGGTCTCCTCGAAAAGGCTGTTTCGAGCATCCGTGGAAATCGATGGTTTTGCAGATGCAGAGTGCCGGTTCAGTCGATGTCCCCCTTCTCCTGCAGGACAAGGAAGGGGGCTGACTTTGGCCAGCTGCCATTCAAGGGGACTCTTGAAGAACCCCAAATGCGCCTAAGGAAAAAGCTTTGAAACGCTGGCGTTCAGCAGCGGGAACCGCTGTGGACTTTTTCATTTTTTAAAAAACGGTTGTTTTGGGTACCACGCAGTCACTGCTGCCAGGTGAGGGGGTGAGGGCCCCAAGCCAGTTGGGGCTCTGCCTTTGTATTGGAGGTGCAGTAGCAAAGCATTCCGCGTTAGCCCCAAGCATCGTTGCCTTCTAGATGCAAACCACGTTGGGTTAGAGTTCTTCTTGGCTCAGCTTTGATGTGGAACAGGGGCCTTGCTGCACTGAGAAGGTATCCAGGGCCTCCCTTCCCCCTGTCCAAGCCATGGTGGAGAGGTTTTGATTACAGCATGCCAAAAGTTTCGCCAGTCACTTGCTTTCCCACGGAGCACGTGGAGTCTGAGCAGGGTCCATAAGCAGTGAAACGAGAAGGGTAGAATTCTGAAGTCCTCGGTCAACTGGATGTCCTCAGCTGGGTTCTACCAGGTTTGGAGGGTGTGTAGAGGGGAGATTCCTGGGGCTGTCTTTCAATCAGATCGATGCTTCCTTGCCCTCTCCATCCAAATGTTGAGATTTGTGTAGGAAGGAAGTAGTTTCTGTGCTGTGTGCAGGAGCAGTGAAGCCGTGAGTTGGTTTTCCCCATGTTGCATCCTTGTTGTTTTCTTCTGGCCGCTAGATCTGGAAGCCTGGAGCGAAGGGTTGTTCCTGTGCAGTGTTCATCCTACACATTGGATTCTCCCACCCCTTCACCAGGGGTGGGAGAACTCAGTTTTTCCCCACTGCAAGACAGTAGCTAAGGGCACTGTGATCTTTTAACAACCTTGTGCTCGGCCTTGGTGCACACTTACACATTTCACACGGTTCAGCAAAGTGAGAGGGGCTGGCCTGGGGTTGTCATCTCCCCCACGCTCCCTTTAGACTAGTAACTGTGCTCTGAAGCAAGAGTGTGCAAAGGGAATTTAGGAGCAGGATCAAGAATTGGGAAGAGGGGCACCTGAGCATCCGGGCTAGGCCTGTGGTTCCTTGAGTGGTAGCAAGACAGTCAGTGGGTGAGGACCTGCCGAAAGTTGGGTTCCTCACCCAAACACTGTCCAGAACAGTTCTCTCCTATCTCAGCTGAGCTAGCCAAGGGTTGTATGAGTTGAACTCCAACCTAGCTAGAAGGCACTATGTTGGACAGGTCGGAGAGCTGCAAACCCTCCCTGAACATCACAGACTCTTCATGGCCTAGATAGAATGAGGAGAAACCTGAGAAAGGTCTAGAATCTCCAGGACAGGCCTGGAGAAATCCATGTGGAAGCTAGTGGCCTTCCGAAATCCTTGCACCACCATGACAGAAGATGCCCTCTAGTGAGCCGGGCATTGCAACCACGGTTCACGTGCATGCTTGCTAGGAAAGGCCTGGTGAGTCGGAAGAAGTTAGAAGTCCTCCTAACCCAACCTGAGATACGCCTGTTGGTCTTCAGTGGCCGGTCCCACCATGACGGTGAGGCGATAGAGCTTACTATTTTTTTCCCTTGTTGGCTAATTCTGCGGTTTAGGACATGGGTCACACATAGCAAAGCACTATCTGAGATAATTAACCTAGAGATGCCATTTGGAAAATGGTTCGTTTTAAATTGACATTCTTACACCACTGTTACCTTTTTTCCCCCCCTTTGATTTTGAAATGTATTGATTTTTGTTTATCAACCCAGCAGGCTGGTGTGTGTGTTGCGAATTTTGGAGGGGGGGGGAGTTGAAATCATTGTTTCATCGTTATATTATCTCTTGGGTGGTGGTTGATTGGGTTTTTTTGTTTTTGGTTTTAATGATGATGTCTAACTTGAGCAGAGTCTTGATTTCTCTCATTTCTTGCTCGTTGCATTCCTTCAACGCTTTGGGGTTTTTATTGCTCACCCACCCAACTTGGATCAAAGAGCCTTTGATTCTGGAATGGCACCGTGGCCGGGCGGGAGCAGAACTGGATTCTGTCCTCCTTCCACACACGGTGCCAGATGTGAAGACTTTGGGCTTGACGGTTCTGCAGCAGAAAACCTTTCGATGTTTTGATGAAAGGTTCTCGGAGATGAGGTGGAGCGGTTCCTGGAGGGGTGAGAAGCCCTCGGCTGGAAGAGCCCTCCCAGTGCTGCAGAGATGGTGATGAGACAATGATGATGATGTTCATTTCGGGTCAGTGACCAGATGAGAAATTTTGTGAAGCAGGTGTGGACAAAAGAGTCCTTCCCGTTTGTCTGGTGCAAAATGGCACGCTTCTCAGTTCCCCCAGTGCCCCCTCCAGTCTCTTCAGAGAATTTATTTCTGATTCCTTTTATTAACACTGTCAGTTTCTTTTCTTTTTTAAAGTAGTTTGGGTCTCCGCAGTGACACACTCCCAAATGGCCTTCTCCTTCTCCTTCTCCTTCTCCTTCTCCTTCTCCTTCTCCTTCTCCTTCTCCTTCTCCTTCTCCTTCT